TTCTTCTGACATACTTTGGACATGTTGTAAGGAGAGACAGGTCCTTGGAGAAGGACATCATGCTTGGGAGGGTGGAGGGACAGTGCAGAAGGGGAAGACCCTCTATGAGGTGGATTGATTCCGTGACTGGGGTAATCAGGATGGGTGTGTCAGAGGCAGTACGACTGGCACAGAATAGAGCAGGGTTTAGGGCTGTTGTACATAGGGTTGCTATGAGTCACAAGCGACTCGACGACACATAACAACAATAACATTATTAGGAGGGGCATAAGGGAATCTTACTATGGTTCAATAACAAAAATAAAATAAACAAAAAACATCACAGTAATTCTACTCCTAAAAGTCTTCAGGTATCTAAAAGAATTTAATTCAAACAAGTATCTGTCCAAAAATGATCACAGTAGCACTATTTACAACAGTCAGAAGATTAAAACAATACAAGTGTTCATCAAATGACTGGATAAACAAAATGTGGTACATGTGTACAATGGAATATTATTCAGTCACCAAAAGGAATGAAGTCCTGAAACAAGTTATGGCATAGATGAACTCTGAAAACGTCATAAGATAGGTTAGGAACTGGCAGCACTCCAAGGACACCACGACTCTATTCTTCTAACCATGCCTTCTGCTTCCCTGTGCAAACAATGGGAGATCATTCTGTATTTAAAGATTAAACTCATACTCTGGAACACAGAACACTCCTATTCTGTTTAACCAGGTCCCCAAAGATGCTTTTCAGAAACTACCAGCATGAGCTAGTCTCCTAAGCAAGCACAAAATGCTTGACACAGTGACGAGTGAGTGACCTTCCAAAACGGATAAGAAGGTCGTTCCTCAGTAAGCCTCAAATCAGCATCACAGGAAGTTGTGTATGTGGAACATTCCAGAATAAGTCATGCCAACCAATCCCAGAAGCCTTTGCAATAGCCTCCATCTTAAATATTATTTATCCTAGAACTTAATTTCCATAACCCTGTCTTCTCCCCCAACCTCAGAGATAAAAATGAATAAACATGATTTTCCTTTCCTACTTGAAATGATGTTTAAGTCTTGTAAACCTTGGTTCAAAGAGAAAGGTCAGCATTGCTTGGGTGCTTGCTATCCCCTGAAAGTTACTTCTCTGTGGTATTATTAAGCCTTTCTTGATCATTTTCAGTTGGTATAAGGACTCATCAGAGGGGCACCTCTTAGTCCAATTCAATGTGCCATAACAAATATGCTAAATGATAAAAGCCAACCACAAAGGACAAGTATTCTATGATGCCATTTACATGAAATATTTAGGATAAACCAGAAAGGCAGAAAGCAAATGAATGATCACTAACAGTTGGGTGGAGGGAGAAATGAGAGTGACTGCTTCACGAGGTCAGGATTTCTTTTTGAGGTGATGAAAATGTTTTGTAACTACTTAAAGGAGATGGTTGCACAATACTGTGAATGTACTAAATGTCATCACACTGTTTATTTTATAATGATAAATTTTACATCAATTTTACCTCATTCAAAACCACAAATAAAAAACTGAAATTATGATTGACCATAAAACCTCACATGATAAGTAGGTAACTTTCTTTACCATGGTTTATCACAATTTTGACACATAAATTTATCATTTAAATCAATATTTTAAATTATCCAGTAAGAATTCCAAATAAGGCATTAATGTAGCTGAGGTTGTCTAATTTATCCCAGTTGGCAGAGCACCTAGTAGAGTTTCCAATATATAAGAAGCTGTAGAAATGTTTTTAATTTGTATAAAGTACAAAGAAAAAGAATATTGAGAAGAATATAAAATGTCCAGAGTCTAGGAAATAGGCTAACACACATGTGTATATATGTACCTAAATATTTGAGCATGCAGACAGATAAATACTTAGGAGAGAAACTTGTTTTCCTCACAACT